AAATCTCTTTTGGTTTTAGACTTTTGTCTTTGCAACTTTACAGATCTTCTTGGTATGCACCAAGAGCTTGTAACACTCCAAAGAGAAAGGAAAACTTGAAATCGCATCATATGACCCCTTTAAAGGATTTGCTCTAACACTTTGTCACATCTCTTAACATTACACTGTTGATGCTTGTTGCTGGTTGGAAGAGATAAAGTTGCTCAACAAAACTTTATCATGTTGTTGTGTCTATACAGCAGTGTTCCCCGAATATTTCAAAAGAGAACCAATCAGTGTGTTTGTTTAGTGCTGTTATGAATCTGCGTTTTAATTGTAACCATTTATTTCAGATTGTTTGGGACATGCACATGTACTGTTGGCAGCATTTGAAAGAGTGAGTTGAATTTGATGTCATATGCACAATTTCTGAAATGCTTATTTGTAGCGGTTTTTTTATTTGTTTTTTTATTTTTTATTTTATTTTATTTTATTTTTTATTTGTTTTTTTTTTACATTTACAGCATGTTGATGGCAGTTTCTCAGTCAAACCTTTGAAGCAGAAACAAATAGTGAGTCTTAATGATTTCCATATTGTCCTGTTTGAACATTATTCTCAAGTAGAGATGGTAATGAGTTCATAATATTTTTTTCCCTAAATATTTGCTTATACACCACAGGTGGACCGTGTCAGTTACTTGCTACAAGAGATTTATGGAATTGAGAACAAAAACAACCAAGAGACAAAGGTAAAAAGATGATTGCTGCTGTTCATTACATTTTCTATATATTTATATAGGTCTCTGTATTATTAGTAATGGAAAATGTCATTGTGATTTTTTTTTTTCCCCCCAGCCATCTGAGGATGAGAACAGTGACAACAGCAACGAGTGTGTGGTGTGTCTGTCAGATCTGCGGGACACTCTGATTTTGCCCTGTAGGCACTTGTGCCTGTGTAACTCTTGCGCTGATACTCTACGCTACCAGGCCAACAACTGCCCGATCTGTCGACTGCGTATGTAACTGCTGTTGAAGGGATAGTCCACCTAAAAATAAAAATTCTGTCATCATTTACTTCTGTGGAACACAAAAGAAGATATTTTGAAGAATGCTGATAAAATGGTTTCAGTGTTTTTTTATTTTGAAGAATGTTGAGAACAAACGATTTCGGTTCCCATTGAATTCCACTCTATTTTGTGACCATAGAATGGAAGTCAAAGAGAACTAAAACTCTTTAGTTACCCACATTCTTCAAAATATCTTATTTTCTGTTACATAGAAGTAAGTCCTACAGGTTTGAAACATGACATGAGTGGAGAGTAAATTAAGCCATGATTTTTATTTTTGGGTGAACTATCAGTTTAACACTCCCACAGTTGTGTATCATTTGAGTAACATCCCGAAAAGCCTGTGAAGAAATTTAGAAGTGCCTTTTTTGTCTGTCTCCAGCGTTTCGAGCTCTTCTCCAGATTCGAGCTGTAAGAAAGAAGCCTGGAGCACTTTCTCCTGTTTCCTTCAGTCCAGTGCTGGCTCAAAGCATGGATCATGATGAGCACTCGGTATGACACATATCCATCTGTGTTGTCTCCATACAAGACAACATGGCATCACTCTCTGATTCTCATTATTTTGTCCCTTTTCTCAGAGCTCAGACTCAGTTCCCCCTGGCTTTGAGCCCATCTCGCTGCTGGAGGCTTTGAACGGTCTTGGTGCCGTGTCCCCTGGCCTTCCATCTGCACCTCTGTATGACGAGATCAACTTCTCTGGGAGCTTGAGTGGAGAGAGCAGGCAGCTCAGCTCACCTGACCACTCTGGAGACAGTGGCGGACAGAAGAGCAAAGTCAGCAAGTCACCCGACAGGTAAAACTGACCCACTGCATGTTTGTTTTTGGATACTGACCCAAACAAGCAATTGAGCCGAACAACATTGTGTGGATAAATACACTACCATTCAAACGTTTGGGTTCGGTAAGATTTTTTAAATGTTTTTGAAAGAAGTCTCTTATGCTCACCAAGGCTGCTTATATTTGATCAAAACATACAGTAAAAACGGTAATTAAGGCTGCACGATTAATCGAATGTGATTGTCACGCGCATCTTGTCAGTAAAGCCGGTTCTGTGATTAGTAGTAAATCTCCAGCATGTCCTTTCAGATGGAGCAGCATTTACTACACAGAGTCGTAGTTCACTGACAAGCTACGCAAAATCGCGTTCATGATCGCAGACGATTTAATCACGCGATTATGAAATCGTTCTGCGATTATGAAATCTGTTTGCGTAGCTTGTCAGTGAACTACAGCTCTGTGTAGTAAATGCTGCTTCATCTGAAAGCACGTGAAAATACCACATTTAATAACATGTTTTTTACTCCAAACTCACTTCATAACGTCAGTCGAGTGTTTGTAGTAAATCCTTCTGTGAGATGATGTGGCTTCTTACACAGAATAAGGCACGCAACATATTTCATAGTATTCTAAGCAGTGATAAAGGCTATGTCGATTAGCATTGCATTATTATATACTTTATTATAATAAAAAATTATAATAAGACGAACTCGGATAAACCATATATTGTCGTAGTCGTTGGTTTATTTGTCACATTGAATTAATGAAAGCAGTTAAATCTTCTGTTTATTCAGCAACTGCTATAAGGGATTTCCTGGGTTTCTTCTGCAAGGCATATTTGGAGTTTCAGAGCGAGAGTGCCCTCTGGCCTTCGGATGGAGATTTACTGCTGATCACAGAACCGTGCTTCACTGAAAGATATGCATGACAATCGCAGCTTCTGCCTAATCGCGATTTCTCGCCTTTGCGATTTAATTTCGATTAATCTTGCAGCCCTAACTGTAATATTGTGAAATATTATTGCAATTTAAAATAACAAATTTCTATTTGAATATATTTTAAAATGTAATTTATTCCTGCAAATCAAAGCTGAATTTTCAGCATCATTACTCCAGTCTTCAGTGTTATATGATCCTTCAGAAATCATTGATTTGATTTGCTTCTCAGGAAACATTTCTTATTATAAATGTTGAAACAGATTTGCTGATTCATATTTTTGAGGAAGCCGTGATGCATTTTTTTCAGGATTCCTTTGATGAAAAGAACAATTTATTTTGAATAGAAATCTTTTGTAACATTATAAATTTCTTTACTCTTACTTGAGTAATTTAATACCTCCTTGCTGAATAAATTTTTTTTTAAAAACAGTCATGTGAACAAGTCAAGATTCTCTGTCCCCTTGAACGTATCCAGCACTGCACAGATTTTTTACTAGGAAATGTGTTAACACAGGAATAAAAACAGCACTTGTCAAGCTATTTCATGGACTATGTGACATTGCTTTCAAAAATAAAATAATGCTTTTGGCGAAGTCTCAAGTGGGATTTTTTTGATAAGTGATCTTTGCTTTCTCGTGACGGAGTAATAATAGCTGGGTAATGGCCAGTTAAGGGCTGAACTTCCTGCATCTGCATGTGTGTCACAGCAAGATGTCATGAACTTCTCCTTTCCATAAATCCGAATAATGACTCCACTTGCCATTTTCAGTACATCCTGTTTTTCATTGTAGCAATAAGGAAAATATACTCAGCATCAACGCATGTGTTGACTCATAGTCCGTCTTCCTGTTTTAACTAAAAGTGCCCATTTCAAATAATTTTGCTGAGAGTTCTAACACAAATAAAAAGATTGATTGATTGATTGATTAATTACTTGAAGAAAATAGTCAAATAAAAAAAATAGGCAAAAATAAATAATAATAATAACTGAATGATACACATTTGTTTATATGTAATATATTTATATATCAATAAGCACATCAAGATTAAAAAGTAACCATAAAAAAACACTCATCTGACATAGAGTGGAGAAGTAGATGCCTGTAATTAGGGTAGTGCACATATACAAAACTAGTGTCTGTATAAAAGCGATTGCATTTTTATTCTTTCACATGTTTATATATATAAAAATGTTAATCACAGGGTCTGCTGTGGAAAAAATTTGCCCTTACGGCACAAAGGTTGCTGGGACACAGACACCTCTTTGATGAGTGTCCACATTTTTTGTAGCAGCTTGTGTTCTCTTTCCACCATGAAAGCAGATCCCCATCCTGTGGGACGCGTGACAATAACAAGAACCGAATATACAGATTAGAATATAAACACTTCCTACTTCATCACCGCTCATCAGACCAGTGTCACATGTCCACAGCACCACCCAGTGCATTTAATTGTAATGGTGAGAAATATAAAAGATATTTTAAAGGGGTCCTATTATGCTTTTCGACGAATGGGATGAGACCTGGTTGAGCTGCACTAGAGAAGGCAATGAGTGTTATCACTATGTCAGAGACACGTTAGCTTTCCCAAGGCAGACGAACTTCGAGTGGTTACAATCATCCGGGTCTAAATCGCGCTCAAACCGATTCGATTTTGACGCAATATTTACACTGAAGCTCGCAGCAGGATGGTAAGGGTCATGACATTTCCCGACCAGGTGCCGAGTGCTGCCAATCACAACACACACTGGCCCAGCTAACCAATCACAGCACATTTCGTATTTCAGAAGGCGGGCCTTCATTTCATACAGGAACTATTCGAGCCGTTTATGCCAGACTGGGGAGAGAGGTGTTGTAATAATGTAAAATATGTGAAAATATGTGTTTTTCGAACAACCTAGTATGAGAGCCTGTTCTAGTACACAGAGGTGTTGTAATAATGTAAAATATGTGAAAATATGTGTTTTTCGAACAACCTAGTATGAGAGCCTGTTCTAGTACACCCCCAAAACAAAATCAAGACTTTGTAAAAGAGCATAATAGGACCCCTTTAATGTTTCCTACGATAAGGACAAAGGCACAAACATTAAATAGTGTTTGTACTAGAAGACTTAATTCGTGCATCATCCCTAGTCCTGACAGTCTGTGTGTTTGCAGCACTCTACGCTCTCCATCGTCACCCATTCAGGAGGAGGATGAAGAAAAACTGTCTGAGATGTCTGATGCACAAGCTCACATGCTGCTGTCCAGCAGTCCTGCCCCCACTGAGGTCAGCAGCACAGCCCATATAACATGTTACACACGGCCTGCTTGATGGGGTTGCACCTTTCTCATGTTCTTCACTGTCTTTGTATTGTCAGGGTACGGCTGGGGAGGACGCCCCTGATTCACTGTCTCCTGAAGATGGTGAGTGACTCCACTGTTATCACTGTCTGACTGGAAATAGGAAAATAAAACAAGTGCTATATTACGTTAAAGCTATTTTTGTGTCTGTTAAATGCTTTCATCACAATAATGTAATGTCTTTTGTTGTTTTTTTCTCTGGACATATTGATATGTGATTAATTGGAATACATTTGACACATTCATTAGCGTAGCATGTTTTTATGGATTTTAATAGATTGACAGCCCTGGTTGACAGTGTTGATAGGGGCATGTTCAGATGTGCTGTCATAGAAGCGAACATTTCAAAGTCATATTGTTTACCACTTTGGCTACATATTATGTGGTGTCCAAAAAATGTTACCAGATGTCCAAATAGGAGCCCTTTTTTAAACTAAATTTGTTAAGGTTATGGTTAAAACAAGTAAATTCTGCCAATGGTAGAACACCAAATATACTTACACAACTGTTCTAAAGTTTGTGATCGGTAGTTTTTTTTAAATGTTTTTGAAAGAAGTCTTTTATGATCAGCAATGCTGCATTTATTTGTTCAAAATACAGTAAAACAAGTAATACTATGAAATATTATTACATTTTCATCATTTAGAATCATTCAGATATGCTGACTTGCATAATGCTGATTTGAAGTTTTAAATATATTTTATTTTAAATTTAATTTATCTCCAGTAATTAAAATGTTTTTTTTATGGTTTAGTTTGTTAACTATAATAACCCTGCTTAATATTTTTTGTGGAAAACATTTTTTAATTTTTTCAAGATTCTTTCATGAATAGAAAAAGAAGCATTTATTTGAAATGGACATTTTTTTGTAACATGATAAATGTCTTTACTGCCAGTTTTGATTAATGTGTCCTTGCTGAATAGAAGTATTAATAACCCCATGCTGTTGAAGGGCAACGTATATTACAAATATTTTGAAAACAAGTGGAGAACATAAGATACTGATCAAGAGTCCAGAAATTGCTAGTGTCGTGTATGCATTAATAATGCATTTTTACTAAATAAAGAATAAACCATTGTGCAACTACAGCTTTTGTTTCTATTGTTTGTGAATCTATACAGAGGATCGACTGAATTTGGAGGAAGAGGTGATGAATGACTGCAGCAGTGAGCACAGCAGCTTTACCAAGACTGAAAGTGACCCCCCTGGAGACCTTTCCCTCCCTGGTGTGTACACATCCGGACACAAGAGCCTATTGTGCATGCTTTGAGTGTGTCCTTTACAGAGACGTTATTGTCCTGAGCGTGTGTGCACTCTTCGAACAACATCGTTCGTTCTTTCTCTCTTGCAATTTGACAAACGCTATGTTTCTGGCTCTCGGTCATTCAGCTCTAACCTGTGTGCCATTTATTCCTTGACTTCCTTTCCCTGCCTTCCTGGCTTCTCTCGTGGTCTTGCTCTGGGCAGCTCTAGGTCCTGATTCCTGCTCTATTGGTATGGAAGAGTAATGGGTATGTAGGCTTCTGTGTCCTTCTCTCGGCTGTTCCTCCATGTTCTTGTTCTCAGTGCCATGCAAACCTATACGGCACAAAAAGTTCTTCAGTCTCCAGTTTTACTGGTTTAATCAATCATTAAATTGTTGCTTTGACATATTTGTTAAACTTTGATGTGCCTGTTTATAAAATATGGCATGTGTTACATGTTTTGATATTTGTGTAGAGTAGATTTTTTAACTGCAGTATTTGTCATTTCTGTAGGATTATCTGGCTCAACTGAAAGTCTGAACACTCAGAGTACCTGCTGCTCCAGCCAGCCGCTCCTGGGTCCCTCAAGCCATTTGCACATGGATGATGATGAACTGGATGTTTAACCCTGCCCATCTCCTTCTTTGTACAGCCCGACATGTCTCCACATTGCAGTTTGATGCACTCCCATTCCAGTATCCCACTTTGAACATGATTGACTCTTGTTCCAGGCCTTTTGTTTCTGAACATAACTGGCTGAGGCCGATGAGCTTGTTCTGGTGGTGTGTCATATTTCTTGTGCTTGGTTTTTAGGGCTCTATTTTATCAAGTTGCTTACTTCACCCAAAGTGATCACCCTTACGTTATTCAAACTCTGCATTATTATCTTCCATGAATCACTAAAAAAAGTTGGGCAGAATGTCCAGTCTGCTCTTTTACATTCCATGAAAGTGGAAGTTGATTTTAAAGTACTTGGTAAGCTCCAGAAACCAGTAAAATAAAATGATTAGTCCATACTACATATCAAGTAATCAAGTTTTCAGAAGCCATATGAAATATCTGTGATGAACAGACCAAACTCTAAACCATCTAATCAAACTCTAAACCATCTAAAAAAATTTTTTTTTTTTTTTTTAAATTGTATTGTTTCTTGAAGAACTTTTAACATTCAAGGAACTTTACCATTGCACAAAATGTTCTTCATAGTGGAAAAAGGTTCTCTAGATGATTAAAATGTTCTTCACACTAGATTGTTTTATGAACTGTTCGCTGAAAGGTTCTTTGAGGAACTTTCTCACCACTTCTGTGTGTTAAACCTTTATTTTTAAGAGTGTGGTTGAGGGTGAAGCAGGTCATTTTGATGCTTGGTTATGTGAACCTAGATATAGAGCTTTGATCCAGGTATTGATTATAACTCTAATAAACATACAGCAGCTTGTTACGATTAATAGACAAAGCACATTTCAATAAAAACTCATTTCAGGATATCTGTACGAGTAAATGTAAAAGTCAACAAATGATCATGTGTTAAACTAATGAGTGAATAATACAGAAATATAATTGTAAATGTTTTAGTAAGTGCTTAAGTGTCCTGAACTTATTTTTTTGTGTGCTGACTGAAGATGAGCAGTCAGAAAAGCACTTTTGAATATATATATATATTCATGATTTCAAATGTAATATTTATAGTGATACTGTTGGAAATGGTGGACGACTTGTCAGTTTAATGACCAAATATTGTGTGGTCTAACAGTGCTTTAAATGTGCTTGTGTGTTCAGCTATTTATGCTCTTTAAAACTTAAAAAAAAGCCGTGGTGGACTCTATTTACCTCTTTATTTGCTTATGAACATTGTAATATATTTAAATACTTTAACATGTGAAGGCATTCCTTTCATGTGTCGGTTCAGATGTTATTAAATCATTTTAGAGCGAGGACTTTGTGAATATTTGACAGGTTGGTTGTATGTCTAAGAGAGGAAAGAAAAGCTCAATGAACAAGTCACAAGAAGCATGACATCTCATTGTTCTCCTCAAACATGCAGATATGCAGTGTCTTGTAGCATTATGCATAGAGGTTTATGTGCCTTTAAAGAACAAAGCAAATGTTGCAACAGCTTTTGCTCATAGCGGTGCTGTTCTTGTGTTCATCAGCTGTAACATTTAGCCTCGACTACGTTTATGCATTAGATGTGAGACTGATGTTCTTGTTTGTAATGTCCGTTTTGGAGAGCATATCATTTTAAACTGATACTATGTAGGTCGAAACGTATTGCTTATACAAATTTTGTAATGCTATATTACTTAACATGATTTTTGTTACATCATCTGTTAATACTGATTAAGCTGCTCTGTACATGTATTTTAATCAAATGTAAAAAATAAAATAAAAATCTGATTATTGATGGTGTTGAATTAATTGCTCACAGCTGTGCATGATAATATTGATGTAAGATTTATCACTGTTCTGGAATATGCATATTATTTATTTCCTCAAATAATGTGCCATTTCAATTAAATATTCCACTGTGCCTTCTTGTTCCTCACTTGTGAGAAGTGCATTTAAAGCGTACTTTCAAAATGAATACTATTTATGAAAGCAATATACTTTAAGAGATAATATTTCATACATTGGTGTGTACCTAATGTATCATTATTATGGAAAAACTATTGTATATAAATGACATGAGTGTTATATCCTAAATGTAAGAAGTTAAACCTTTGAGTGTTTTTTGACTTATTTTAGCAGCACTTAAGCAAAATGTGTGATTTTGTCACTTCTAATACGCTAGTTTTGCATGTACTTCTGATATACTTTGGTCAGTGGCACTGAAAATAAAATATACTTCAAAGCAACTGTAATTTAGAAAAATATTCTACTGCACTTGAGAGTGTTTTATTATTATTACCCTGCACTAGCATATACTTCTGTAGTGCAGTGCTTTACTACTGTGTACTGATACTAAAGTGCACTTCAGTACCCTTCCAGACACTTCCTGAAACATTTACTTTATTAGAAATGACTTCATTTTCTTCCCTTGATTTATTTATTTATATATTTAAACCTTTAGTACTTATTTACAGATGCACAAAATTATGTTTATACATTTTTTGGGTTATTTTTCGGACCTATTCTAATTTATGCATCATCTTCTATGGCAGATTCTTTAATATACATGTTTAATTAGAATAATATAACACTATAGCAGTGTTGGGTAAGTTACTCTAAAAAATTATTAATAGATACTAATACCATCTTCACCCATGTGATTAGATTACTGCACTAATTACTCTCTAAATAGTATTGAAGTACTTATTACTAATTACTTTCTAAATCCTATATCAACCTTGACCAGTTGAATAGACATGAAGCTGTTCTTTTTATTCTTTCAGATGAATAATATAAAATCGCATAAATTATTCTTGAACTGACCAAAGTATTTAAAAGGAGCCGGTTACAATAAAAACATACATTTTAACATTAGATGCTAAATTTTGATTTTAAATCCACTAGGCTATTGTTTTATACTTAATTGTTCTATAGTACTCTACAGTATTTAATGCAATTACATCAGAAGTAATTGTAATTAAATTATTAAGTCCATGCTTGCATGGCAGAGGCATCTGTAATAGCATTACCTTTAGAAGTAGGCTATTTAACACAGACTGTTTAATGCAGCTCAGGTGGGGCATGAATGCTCGTAAAACAATTATAATTGCATGAATAATGTTATAGGATTAATGTTTTGAATAGAACATTTTGAACATAGAAATATTAAATGATGGGGGAACAAATAAATTGTTTTTAAGTATGAAACTAAAACCGCCAGTAGGTGGCGGCAATCACTGTTTAATAAACGAGTCATTGACTCATTTGCTTCGTTCAAAACGACTTTATGAATGGGTAGCCTAATTAAATCATTCACTCTAGTGATGGGAAGTTCGAATCATTTTACCGACACTACTTGACTAATTCCAGTACAGAACCTATAGGATGATGCGCATGCGCGACTGAACGAATCATTCCCTAGACGACTCGTTCTTCCCGAGTCACATGAAAGATTCGTTCAAAATGAACGAATCGTTCAAGAACGACCCAACACTAATTCACTCAGGGAAACGGCAATCTTCTTTGTTCCTCGTCTGATATTTCTTAACTATACTGTATGTATATTTATAAAAAAAACAATTCAGTCAGATATTATGTCAGTGGCACTGTGTCAGAAAATGGACGTGCGGCCTGATTACTAATCCAACAGTTTGAGTCACGCGTATGAAAGGAATGAAAACATGGATGAGGATTGAGCTTTATGTGTGCAGATGAGAGAGGACTGTATAAACAGCACATCTCCCTACTTCCCAACAATTGTAAACACGTGTCATGGGTCGACACGTACAGTGAAGCAATGTGGAGAAACATGGTGAACCATCGGTGAACACCTGCTGACTGGAAAGTCGCGCGATGACACTGGTGCTTTAAAAAGCAGGTAAGTTATTAAGTCATAAAATAAACCACAGACTCAATGGTCATTGTCTGAGCATGTTAGTGGATGACCACAGAAATAATGAGTCAAACACAGTTAAAAAAACTTCTGAAGGCTCAAACGACACAAACGGAAGACTATAATGCGACAGTGTTTGAGTGAGTCAGCTTGTGTTGGCCCTGAATGACTCATCCATTTGCCTCCTAATAGCTTTTAGTCTATATTTTACAGGTCAACAAGCGATTTATTATCTCTCTAAGATAATCTCAACTTCTGTGAAACACGATTGATCTAAATGATCAAATGTTAGTATGTATCAAGTGATGATGATTACTTAAAATAGCTTACTATTAAAAGACTGTCTTGTATTACAGGACTTGTAAAATATAAGGATGCCAATATAGATTCTACACTAAATAGTAGTTCAGCTGATGATTGGAATTACTCGGAGGGGTCGTTTAAAGGTCAAATCATCTTAAATTGAAGTAGCTCCTCCTCAGATGAGGTCCAGCATTAACCCAGAGCTTCCTCTCATTGTGTCTGATGTATTGGAAAGTAAAGAGCTGGATTCATCAGGTTTCAGCCGGTTATTGAACAGTAAGTCAGTAGACTAGATATATTTAGTTTGTCAGATGGCATTAACACCTTAAGCATAATACTGGGAAACCTGAAAGCTCCTTAAACTGTGTATTTTTGAAAAGGAAGACATCATTGGACAATAATGAACAGCAGAGTGTAAAAAAAAACGTGTAAATGTTTAAGCAGCATGCTGTGTTATCAAATAATTACTAATCCATCACTGACTGGACTATACTATATGCTAAAGATAATATATTCTTCTCCAAGGGAATAATTTTTATCACTAAATAGGTTGCTATACAGATGTAAAATGATCTCTAAACTATATAAAAAATGGGACTGTACAAAAACAAAGGATGTTCAAATAAATGCAATCAATAAATGAAGCAAGCAGTATTCAAAATAAACAATGAACATGTGAATTTTATCTTTTGCATAATGAAATTGATAAATTAAGCAAAATGAACACTGGTGATGATTTCAGAGTAATTAAAACATGAAACACAATGTGATGTACTTTAGAAATGCTGGGTAAATAAAGGACAAAAACACATACATCTAATTTTCTTGTTGGGTTGCTCGTTTAAACAGAAGGCTGGGTTACACAAGAACTAACCAACACTGAAAATAAACCAACAAAATGACACACTATTTGGCTAGAAAATATACTATTCATAAATCCCAAACTAGCATTTTTTAGAGTATATACATAATCACACTTGATGTGGCAAGTTGAGCGGATGTTTAGGTAAATGTAAACCATGTTATTAAAAACAAAAGGCGGTTTAATTAGGTGTCTAACCCTTTTGTGATGTGAAAAAATATTAATATTGATACATTTTAAATTATTAATATGAATAAATATCAAAACATGCACAGCACTGTTCAGACGCCTGGGGTCAGTAATATTCTTTTAA